CTCTTGAGAAATCCCAGTGTTACAGACTGAGCTAACTCTTCTCACTACCTGAGCACAGTATGTGTCCTGAATTCCTATATAAATCATATGTTATATACAATTAGTGTAATGCCTGAGAGATTAATTCTGAAATTTTTTTAATATACAAACACCAAAAATTTAAAAGGCAACAGAAATCAATAGAAAAGTGTCTATGTAGTTTATTATCCAGAAATCAACCAATAACAAATGCTGGCAGGGCTTTGGAGGAAAAGGAACTCTTCTCCCTGTTGGTGGAAGTGTACAATGGTACAACCACTGTGGAAATCAATGTGGAGATTCTTCAAAAAACTAGCACAAGAGGTTCCATTTCACCCAGCTATCTCCCTTCTCAGTATCTTCCTGAAAGAATTCAAAGCATCATACCACAATGATATATGCACACTCATGTTCATAGCAGCACACTTTGTAACAGCTAAATTTTGAAAACAGCCCAAATACCTATCAACTAAAAAAAAAAAAAAATGTGATTTTTGGTATACAATGGAGTACTATTCAGTCATAAAGAATGATAAACTTGAGATATTTATAGGTATATGGATGCACCTAGAGACCATACTCTTAAATGAAATAAACTGGACACGCGTGTTAATATTTCATTGTTTCTCTGCTGTGAGAAATTGAAAGTGTAAAAAAGGAACAAAATATATAATAAATTATTGTGAAATAGGAGGAAAAAGTTCACATAAGAAGGGGCACTAGGGAGGGGGGAGGGGGGAAAGGAAGAAACAGAAAAGAAAAAAATAAAAAAAAAACAAAGATAAAATAGAAATAAAGCTTTTGTAAATAAGGAGGTGAAGAAGGGTTGAAGGGAGGGAATGGGAATGGGAAAAAAATAAGAATTAAGATATATCATATACAAGTACAAATTCTATAAGATAAATATGATCATTATATTATATCTAAATTTTACCAATAAATTTAATTTTTAAAAATACATGTCATAAACAAAAAATTGCTCCTAGAAAATAAAGTTTTCTTTTTTTAAATTTTGTTTCAGAAATAAAGAATCTTGGACATGTTGACAATACATGTTAACATAAATGGTGATTATGAAGATGTAACTTTTCTACAAAATTCTTTATATATTTATTTTAAGCCTTTTTCTTATTTATATTTCATACTAAAACTTTCACAAAGCATATGACATGTAAAGAGGTGAAAAATATATTAAGAAGCAGTATATACAACACTGTATATAGCAGCAACATCTTTCATCAGTTAGACAACAAAATATTAAAAGGGTGATATTTTCAATAAAGGCTAAAGTACTTTGGGATATGTGAAGAACACATAAGTGTTTCTTTAAAATGAGAGAAAAAATACTACATCACATGCAATTTTTTTTCATTTAAAATATTTATATGAGCCACTGGGAAACTATTTGCATAGTTATACACAAAATACAAATGTTCACCACTGATATGTTTTTCCACTTAAAATAACCAACAAATGAATATAATTTTAAATGAATAAAGTACTTACTGTAAGTCATTGTTACTTTGGAATTTTTCTTTTATTGCTGAACTTTTTAATTAAAATTATCTGTAGCACTAGTAAACAATGTCAAAGTGATCCTTAAAGTGGTAGGAAGACATGAAGTTTGTTCTGTTGCCCTAAGGCTTCAGCGTTTAATGTAGTAGTGGATCACATGGAGACATCATGATGTTATAAACAATTATCATTGTAAATGATCTACTGTATCCTATTTATAATACCTTTATTATAGTAGTGTCCTAGTATCACAAATTTAAAATATATTGCACATGGTTTGAGGAAAAAAATTCACCTACTAGGTCAATAGTCTACTATATACTCTTGGCCTTTATAAGTCGCCACGATGACATTTAAAGGTTAATTTTTTTTAATTTGTGATTTGAATCTTTTACTGATTGATTTGACAAATGATTTTGAAGGCATGACCCAGAAAAAAATGTATCGGAAAGGAATATTCTCTTTTCTCTTTTAAAGAATGAGAAACTTCTACAACTCTACACCCAAAATATCTGATCAGGTAGTACCATCAGGTGTTCCTGGATTAATGCAAAAAAAGGGAATTAAATTAGAGACACAGTATGACAATGCTCTAACAAGAAAAATAATTACTTACAGTTTGCATAACTAGTAGGAGCAAATGCCAATCAAACAAATAGCCTGTATTTTGACAACCCATGTAATAGTTCAGTGGGGAGTTTTGGAAAAGGAATTATTATTTCAATGCCAAGTCACGCTTACAGCTTTGAACAAGTAGCAAAACATGAGCATGTTTCTCAAATGGATTTCACAGCATCAGTGAAAAAGCCATAGGGGATGGCTTAGTTTTTTAAGCCTCAGATTTGAAATACCTAGACTCCCTGCAACTACAGCCTTAAATCCTATGTGGAACCAGAGCTTCGAATGCTATCAGGAGAGACTCAATTCTTCATTCTTCTGAGACTGATAAACTGAAAGCTGTGAAGTTTAGAGAAAAAGCAGGGGAGCATGCAGCTGCCTGAAACTCCCCCTCAACCTCTGACACACACACACACACACACACACACACACACACACACAAACACACACACACAGACACAGAGTATAGTTTTATTTGTAACATCATTTAACGTTCCATTTGAGACTTTCTCCTTGGTAGGATTTGAGGATGCTGTTTTTTAAGACATCCAAAAATCTTATAAACCTGCCATGCGCCATGTTTATAAACTTAAATTAAATTTTAGATCAAAATAGACTGAAAACATTTTAACTCATATTTAATATGCAAGGAAATTCTAAGTGCTTACTTTAAAATGAATTCTAGGTAGTCAGCTGACTCTTATTCCTGTGGAAATTTCTGTATCTCAAACTGATTTCATTTTGCTGCTTTCTATGTTTCTGGACTGCTGACACCGATTGATAAATATCTGATAAATACCAATTAAACCATCAGTATATTAGTTAAGTGGTATTCTAACATTGTCTAATATCTACTTTATTCACAAAACTTTGTACAATATGAAATAACACTATTATTACAGATGAAAGTGTGCCCTATGAAGACTACACAAGTTAATCACATTTGATATGCATTTGCTCTAAGTTTTAAAATCCAGGCCTTGAAAAACTCCTGATGTAATGTTAGTTATAAATTTAATTCAGGAACACAAACATTATATCAAACAAAACTGTATAATGTATTTTAGATTTAAATAAAATAAACATACCTTTTGGATTTCTCAGAAACACTATATCTCGGATATTATTTATAATTAATGATTGTATAAAACTTAAAGAGGATTCTAGGAAAACTGTACACTATATTGTTAATGTCTACCCACCTAATTGTTAACAAATGTTTTTCCATTTAGACTTTCCTCTAAAAAAGCAGAAGGATCCTGCTACATTGAGGCATAAATGAGAACTTGAGACTAACACAAAGTTAGACCTCTAGGTCTGAAGGCTAAAATATTCTGAGTGTTAGTGAAAACACAAAAAGTAATCCAGATGGAACCAAATATCTATATCATCTTCTTAGATTAAGTCAGCTAAAAAGATAACTAAATTTAGGCAAACTAGTTCCATTTGGTATTTTAATAGCCACTAAAAATACTAGATTCTTTTGAGATTGCATATTATTTTTAAATAAAAATATTTATGAGAAAGCTGGCATTTAGATTAGCAAGTAATTTAGCTGTTTTCCTCCAACCAATAAATGAGATTAATTTCTCTGATAGGATTTTTATTTCAGGTAAAGAGAAAATTTTGGAGAAAAGGGTAAATACTCTTACCTCAGTAGGAGGTAAAATTTAGCCTCTTTTAGTTGGAGAAACACAAATACCTGAAGAGCTAGGAAGAGGCTGCAGGCACTGAGACCAATTTCCCATGTATAATATGTTACAATTTTTGCTGAAGACATGTCCCAGTTCCTTAGTCTGTATAAACAACATTCAGCTCAGGTGCTAAGAAAAATCCATTCAAAGGACAATGTAAATTTTCCTGGCTTTCTTAACCTGTTTCACCTTTTACCTATCACCTAGTATTAGCTTATGGTTGGTCTTTCCCCCAGCACAAATGGCTTATTTCTCCTCCGAAGCAGTTCCTTTGAATTACACTTAAATTCAAATAGAACTTCTCTGCCTTTATCCTCCTACGTTGTTTTATGTTGGTTAAATTATATATTATTTCCTAGCAGTAATAGTTTTGAAAATTTTTAAGCCCCACAACTCACATTGAGTACATATTTTACAAGTCCGGATAGATTTATAGATATTCTTCACAACTATTTGTCTTCCTTTAGATACAAGGACAAGCATTTCAGAGCCCCAGAGGGATTGCTGGTCCATGCTCACACAACTGTGCAGCCACCGAATTATAAAAATGAACAGCCTCTACCATGCATGTAAACTCTCCATCTTTCCTTTTATTCAAACATTTATTTAATACTTAATGGTGCCAGGCAAGAAAGTTAAAATGCTTTCAAAAAAGAAAAGCATTGTTGCCTGGAGGCACCGGAACGTGGCTTTCAGTGGACTATACAGAGGGTACATTTATATTTTCCCAGTTTGTCCGTTTCTTTCAGCTCAGGGATTTTCAACCAAAGGACGTCCTACAAAAAAGCTGTGGTGGGAATCCAGAGCACATTTTAGGATTGGTAAACTTTTCAACTTCAACTTTAATTAAGATAATAAAGTAAAACTTAAAATAGTACACAGCAATTAACAGAGGTTTCTAAAGTCATACAACCCAGGGTTGCATAACTTCATACTAATTTTCCAACGTGAGGCGCAATCTACGTTTCAAGAACTGGGAAAGTAGCAATTTAGTTGATTATTTTAAACGGGGGAAAAAAAAAAACTGCATCGCACCTATGAATAAATACTTCAGACCAAACTCCTCACGACCGATAACCTCAGCTCCAAAAAACTTCAGCGGACGAAAAACTTCCGGGATTCGGGAAAACGTTACATCTCGCGAGAGTTCAGGGAACTCAAGATTTCCGTGACCGCGGGGGCTTGGGTCTCAGCTGGCGGCCTTGCTCGCGACCTTTCTCGCGCTGGTCGGCTCAGCTCGCAGCTATGGCGCGGAAGTCGAATTTGCCTCTAATTGTCGTGCCACTTCTGCTCAGCCCGGCCCTAGTGCTGGGCTCCAGCCTTCTGCCCCTGGTCGTCAACACTTGGCCTTTTAAGAATGCGACCGAAGCAGGTGCGGGGTGGCGGCCGGGGCGGGTGGCTGCGCTTCGGAAGCTCGCCGATGGGGCAGGACTGGCCCCACTGAAGTTTGGGGCGCGGGGAGACCCGGCGAGCGCCTCCCTGGCCGGGCCTCGCGCATTCTCAGCCTCCAGCCCTTCCTGCCCCGCTGCGGCTTGCAGCTGGCCTTTTACTCCATCCTCCTTGCCACTGCCACATATAAGGCCTTGTCACTGAGGATTACGCCCTTTATTGGGCCGGCCAGTGTGTAGTCTCCCCTTTAAGTGACCTCAAACGCTGTGGCCTTTTTTTTTCTTCCAGTGGCACCCGCGCTGGTTTTTGCCAGTGTGTAGTCTCCCCTTTAAGTGACCTCAAACGCTGTGGCCTTTTTTTTTTTCTTCCAGTGGCACCCGCGCTGGTTTTTGCCAGACAAGCAATCTTCTCGTGGGTTGTCTTCTGTCGGCCTCTTCACCTCTTTTCTAACTCCTCACTTCACTTCAGTACCTAGGATTCCTTCCTTGCAAACAACTAATCATTCCCCAAACTCACTTTCCCCACTTACGTTTGCTGCTATATACTGACATGCTCTCTACTTGTCACTTAAAATGTGGGGTACTGGGCTTGTATGTTCATTAAAATGACCTGTGGAGCTTCTGAGGAATCATGTTGTGCCCGAACCCCATCTCCTGAGTTTTTTCAAACTGCTGGAAACGGCATCTGTTTTTAAAATTTCCTGTGTGATTTTTCATTTGCAATCAGGGAGGGTTGAGAACCTCAAAGCTAAGGTATCAGCTTTTTAAGGAAGTATGCCCTTGACTTCCCATCATCCTGCCCACTAGGTTCTTATCTTGTACGCTTTGATCTTATCCTATATAAACCATGATTAAGGGGTTTACACATAGTGTCATGCTTGTCTCTTTAATGTGCTTCAAGAATACTACTACAGGTGTAATTTTAGAACCACTTCTGAGACTGCTAGTATATTAATTTTCTGAGAGAAAAATTGGCTCCAGAATCTAGTAGAGGTAAATTTGTGTGTTACAGGTAGTGTGTATGAAATCAGAAAACATGAGAAATCAGACTGTGAAAAAAGATACTCAGCAGAAAGTCCAGCAGCCCGGGCAGGGGGCAATTCTTTATGTTACCTATAGTGAATTTTCAAGCCTGAAAGTCTAATAGTGATGATCAATTAGTGCTTATCAACAGTAGCACCTACCCTTCAAGGACTTCTCTTTTACTCAGTAAACAAATTCTCTTTTTATTGCGTATGAACTTCACCATTGATGATACCCACACAGTGTACTGGGTAGGGTCTACAGAACAACATAGTACTAAAAGTATAGTCACCCTAGTCAAAAAGACTACTTTTTGAAATGGTTGTGTGACCTTGAGGAAATTACCTAACCTCTCTGGCTCTGTCAGTTTTTGTGTACAATGAAAATTGTAATTATACATATACTATGCAAAAGCTATTGTGAATTAATCCTCTGAAGCCTACATTATTTGCTATTACAGTATTACTGTTAATAGGTGTTGCCTCAGTGACAGTACTAGTTATGAATATTTTAATACTCTATGGATGTAGAAGCAGTTTATAAGGTGATTTAATAGATTTTGAACTCAACTGCCTTTAAGTAGTTTCAGTTGTGCCTTTTAAAATAAAGGAAAGGAAGCTGGATGTGATGGCATAGGCCTTAATCCCAGTACTCTGGGAAGCTGGGGCAAAGGATCGCAAGCTCTAGTCCACCCTGGGAAATTTAGTGACATAGCTAAATTGTCTCAAAATAAAAAATTTAAAAATGGCTGGGGATATAGCTCAGTGCAAAAGCCCTAGGTTCACTCCCCAGTAGCAGAAAATAAATAAGGAGAGGATAGTTGTTTTTACAGAAGAAATAAGTGTTAATAAGGAAATAAACTTTCTTATTGCACCAATAATTAGTTTGAATTTTTTTCCTGAATTAGGCATTGAACCTAGGGCTTTTGCACTAGCTACAGGTGGTGATGTACTTTTTCTCTTGTCTCTGAAAACTCCTTTGTAGCACTTTATTAACTTGTTAAAAATTCAGTTTAAGTGTGAAAACAGAATTTGAAAGGAAGTTTTCAAAATGTTTTTGATTCAGTGCATTTGACATTGAAAAATATATAAATATAAACAAGCATTATTGGGATTTAACAGCATGGCAGACATTAGCATCTGGAGGGTCTACCCTGGACGCAGTTGAGAATGGCTGTGCCATGTGTGAGAAAGAGCAGTGTGACGGCTCTGTAGGCTTCGGAGGAAGTCCTGATGAACTTGGGGAAACAACATTGGATGCAATGATCATGGATGGGTAAGAATGTCCTACAGGACCTATTTATCTCTGTACCTTTGCTGCTTGTTTAACTATATTTAGAGCTGTAGTCCTTGAAGAACAAGATGGAAAAATGCACAACTTGTCATAGGTATAACTAGCTATTGTACTTGGCCTTTCTAAACACAGACTTTGCCTCTCAAAAAAAAAAAAAATCCTATTAGGAATAACCAGGAAGTTAGATAATCCCAGGGAGAATCCTAAACTGTAAAAATAAACCTCTGATTTATGAGCAGTCATTTATTTGCCATCCACAAATGCTGCAGTTTGCTTGACCAGAAACTGTGAGACCCTTTTCAGAAGCCAGGTTTCAAATAAGCTAAGTAAAAAAATGTCAGTGCTTTGGTATATAACGTAAATTGAATTTCTACTTTTTCTTTGATTTTATCTGATTGTGGGACTCTGGGGAACTCATGGTTGTATTTTAACTTTTATGTTTAGATAATGGAGTTTATCCTACAACACATTGTTTGGAGAAATGCAGTATTGTATATCTTTGAACCTATGACAATACTTTAATACACTTTACTGCATTTATTTCTTGCAGCGCTACTATGGATGTAGGAGCAGTAGGAGATCTTAGACGAATAAAAAATGCTATTGGTGTGGCACGGAAAGTATTGGAGCATACAACACACACACTTCTAGTAGGAGAGTCAGGTACTTTTTAACTATTCTGAAATTTTTTCTAGTCTTTTGTTTATAGTTGTCACTGTAAAAAAAATAGGACTCCATAAAAAATAGAGATGAAAGCAGACCTTAATTCAATTCCTGCTGTTGTACTTAATACCTATTTAACTGCACATGTTTCTTAACTTTTACATCTAACTTTCTTTGTCTTTAAGATGGGATCTTAAAAAATATTTATCTATAGATGAATAATTGCTGAAATGAAACTAGATTTGGAGTTGTTTACAGTTTTCTTCCTGTATTACATGTTTATATGTGTAAGACCCCAAGAACATTGTTAACATAATATGGGGCTGAATGAGTTTGCTGTTGCAGAGGGTCTTACTTGAACACCTTCCAGCTTATGTACTAAAGATGATACAGTAACATATAATCAGAAATATTTATAATGATGTGTAGTAGACTTCCTTCAGTTTGGTTGATTGTAAGCTACCTGACAGAATCTTTTACTCATTTAGTGGAATCCATTTGGCTCCTTGATTGGTATCTTAAAGCTTTTTCACCTTGAACTTTGCACCCTAGTTAGAGCAGTAAGATTTGGTACTGGTGAAAGGTGTGCCTTTTGTTTTTGGAAAAGTGGAGAGAATGGGCCAGCTCAGGTGAGGTAGCATAGGGGATTATCATAACATACCCATCAGGAGCTTCAAATAGATCAGTTTAGAGAAGACATATGGAAATTGAAAACTAGAAGTTGACTTCTCTAAAGGTATTTATGTCTGAAAACTCCTTTGATAGTCTTTGTGTATCCCACTTAAGAGATAGCTGACCTAGACTGCTTATAATACACATATTTTGTTTATGGCACATGTAAACTTGGTTAATTTACACTTTTCTTCCTAATGTCCAGCCACCAAGTTTGCTGAGAGTATGGGGTTTATCAAGGAAGATTTATCTACGAATTTTTCTCATGCGCTTCATTCAAATTGGCTTGCTCAGAATTGCCAGCCAAATCACTGGAAAGTATGTATTCATATTCAATTTTAAAAGGTAAATAACTTGAAAATTTTAAATGACATCCTTCTGCCCTCTGTTACCTACCTGTTGCCAAGGGTGGTGGTTAGTGTCTTGGCTGCACTGCATATTAGAAGCAATGATTTGCATTGTCTTGCAGCCTGGATGCTTCTGACAGCTACCTAGCAGCCTCTCATCACCTGGGGTACAGATCTACTGGTCTCTGAAAATAGTTTGCAAACTGTGAAGGTCTACTGTAAGATTGAAGCTGCCTTTGTCAGAGATGTTCTTCTAGTCTTTCTTTGGGATAAAGTCTTTAAAAGAAAAAAAATCAAAGGTTGGAAAATATTAGTCTAAAATATTTGTTAGATTTTTATCTGTATGAAATATATTCAATTCCTTGACCTAGTACAACTTGAGGATTTACACTGTTAGGTGTCTCATATGTTACTAGTGGGATAATTGTCTCTAATGGGATTTTTAGCACAAGTCAGTTTGCCTTTGCCATAGGTTCTTTCTATGGAATATTATAGTTTCTCATCTGTTTCCTTCTCAAGTCCTCATTAGTATCAGGGATTATCACTGGAAAGACTCTATTCATAAAATCAGGTTGTAGGAGGTACCTAGTACACTGACATATAAGGTATGAATATCAGTTGAACATTGATCCATATATCCAAAATCCAACACTCTGAGCAATGACATGATGCTACAAGTAGAAAAATCTGTATCGTCTCATGTGATGGGATGCATTGCCTTCAAAATGCAGTCACACTAAAAACAATGAAATAACTTTCAGGCTACTTGTATAAGATACTTATGAAACAGTGAGTGAATTTTATGTTTAGACCTGGGTCCTGTCCTCGAGAGCTCATTATGTACATGTAAATATTCCAAAACTCAAAATACTTCTATTGCTAACATATCAGATAAGGAATATTCAAACTATAGTAAATTCTTATTTTTATAAAACTATAAACAATCTAAATTTATGAGTTTGAATTATATTTTTGTCCTTAAGATTTAAAGAATCTTAAATTTTAGAGAGTCATACAGAACATACTCATATAAACTTGGCTATGAAAAAAAAAGGTTTGAAAACAGATTTTATTTTAAACCTCTGAATTTTTCATCTGGAGAACATGTTCTGAGATCTAAAGGTCAGGTTGTGTACCTTACTCCTTTGAGGATTAGTATCTAATAAAAAGCTTTATATCTACTATTATGCTGAGAATTTTACACATATAAAGAGAAAACACAGTGACCTGTTCCATGTAGTTTAAATGTTTAAACCATATTTTTCTGAGGCTAGCATGGAAATGTAGTAAAACTGCATATTCATCTACTTTCACATAAGACTTTGCTAATCTTTAAGCTTTGAGTTACCAGATGTCTTTTTGATTTTGTACTAGTGTTTAGTGATCATATATAACTGCTTGCTAATTTCTAAAACACCTTCCTTAAAAATAAAACTCAAATCTTGTTTACAGAATGTTATACCAGATGCTTCAAAATACTGTGGACCTTACAAACCACCTGGCATTTTAAAGCAGGACTGTCATACCTATAAAGAAATAAGAAATGACTATGGTCATGATACTGTTGGTAATTTACCTTTTATATAGTTTTCATGATTAAAATTTAATTCCCTTCTGTTCTTCCTTTTTTTTCCTATTCCTGTTCCAAAAATCAATTTTGATTATTTCAGTTGCTGAGTAAGTGCATGACCCACCCCCACACACATACATATATATATATATAAAGTCTTACCTTAGCATTTTTGCATAGTTCATTAAATTACTTATACAAGACCCCCAAAATCCAATGACTAGTCACCTTTGGATTTTAAATCTTTATTTGATACTTAGTTATTTAATTTTTTATGTTGTTTGAAATATTAAACCTTAAATAATTTTTTCCAAGCTGTAATCTGACAATTTCTATTAGTCTATTTCAGAAATTTTATTTGGAATTATATTATAAAATGTATTGAAAGTAACTAACATTTTAAGGAGTAAGAATATGGAATGTCTATCAGATGATGCTATGAGACTAGATCATTAAAATGCAAAATTATACCCAAAACTCTTCTTCTATCTGAAATTATCAAGAAAGCATATTTATATTGTTATTTTAGTCAGTTTTTATTGTTAGACACAATACCATAGACTGGATGACTTATATATAAAAGAAATTTATTTCTTGAAGTTGTGTGTGCTGGAAAGTCCAAGATGTACATGTTGGTAGATTCAATGTCTAACGAGGACTCATTTTTTTAGTTTATACATGGCAGTTTCTCCCTGTGTCCTTATGTGGAGGATGGACTAGCCAGCTCCAAGCCAAGTTATTAGCCTCTGCCTGATCACCTTCCAAAAGTCCTCCTCCTAAATCTTTCACTTTGTGGATTAAATTTCAGTCTATGAATTTGGGGGCACAAATAATTGAGACTTTACCACTGCTTGCTTGTTTAATTATATATTAAGTAAAATTCAGTTACTTAATTTCTTTCTTTTTTCTTTCTTTCTTTCTTTCGTTTTTTTACTCTTAGGCATGGTTGTAATCCATAAGATGGGATATACTGCTGCTGGTACCTCTACAAATGGCCTGAAGTTCAAAATACCTGGGTTAGTGTTTCCATAAGAACAGCTTTCTCCAACAAATAGTGTAAAGCAATATGTGCTAGGTGCTATGGAGGATCCCAAATGCAAAGCACAACGCTAGCCTCAGAACTGAGACAGATAAATGTGATAGACAAGATCTTACTGTCTGCTAAGGACCAAAGAAGGAATCACAGCCAGTGCTTTAGCGTGCAAGGGTGACAAAGATGATCTGTTTAAGCTAAGTAGTTAGGAAGGATGTAAAGTGGGTGCAAGGAACTGAGTCCCTGGTCCACAAAAAGTAAAGGGGAACATGCAGTATTGTGCACTTCAGGTTCAGGACCTCTGCTGGCTGAGAGACAAACCAATAGTGGGAGTTTGTGTGTGTGCATGTCCCAGAGTGGAGGGAATTGTGGAAGATGACTAAGGGAAGACAAGGTAGATTTCAAAGGGTTCAAAGGGCCTAAGGAGTTCTGGATTTTATTTTGCAATAGTAGGAGAATTTAAAGATGCATTACATGGAAAAACTTTGGTAAAAGTTTGATACTTTTCCTGGGAAGCAGGAATAGATTATAGATAAGAAGCCACTTTGGAACCTGTTGATAATCCAGGAATTTAGGTAATAAAGAATGGTAGGAATAGAATAGTCACTGCAAATCTGTGTATGTCATCTTGGCATAAGAAATTCTGTTACTTTTAGGAATTAATTTTTAAATGATTAAGTAAAAAACTATGTATTTGTGATATCATATGTATATGGACAGTGAAATAGTTAAACCAAGCTATTTAACTTATGTATTACCTCACAGACTTGTTTTTGTGATTAGACCACTTAAAATATACTCCTTCAGTAATTTTCAAATATAAAGTATATTGTTATTAACTTACTGTAGTAACTATATTATATAACAGATCATTTGAACTTATTCGTCTTCTTTGAAATACTGTGCCCTTGAACCAACATCTTCCCACTCCCTAGCATCTGGCCACCAGAATTTAATCTGTATTTCTGTAAGCTTAACTTTTTTATACTCCACATCTGATAACAACTTTATACCCGATTTCCTGGGGTAAATTCTTATGCTCTGTGCTCACAAAGTCGTATAGGAGATTCCCCCATACCTGGAGCTGGGGCCTACGCTGATGACTCCGCAGGGGCTGCTGCAGCCACTGGGGATGGAGATATACTGATGCGCTTCCTTCCAAGGTATGACTTTTTAGATTTGCAAACTTTAGATTTCTTTCATTGCGATATTTTGTCAAGGTATAAAATAATTTTTTGTTTCATGTAATTTGAATTTGTGTGCACAAGCTATTTAGAAATGACATATACAAACTCCTTATCGATCATTTAATTAATGATCATTCAAATTAAGTAATCATAGTCCTGGGAAATAGAACATTGTTTACCACCCTACTTCACAGATGAGAATTTTTTTTTTTTTGGTACTGGGGCTCGATCTCAGGAACTTCCGCTTGCAAGGCAGGCGGTGGAACCACTGAGTTAAATTCTTGGCGCAAAAATATTTTTGATAAATAATTGATGTAGGGCCACTAGGTAAAGGCATTATGGTTATTGATAAAATTAAGACGTGTAATTACTGTGTACAATTAATTATGCAACTACATGTTTTATACACATACAATATTTTCTCCTTTGTAGCTTTCTTATTTAAATATAACTGCTATTCCCTGAAACTTCTATTACTAAGTGACTGTTATTTAACCAAGTCTCCCTACCTCCAAAAAAATCCTATGAAATTAATGTTGAGTTCAGTAGATGACATTATATCATTTACTTGCTTTGCTGTTGAAGCTTTAGCAGGAATCACTGACTCCTGTTCATGTATATGAACTATATCCAATGTGATAATTTCAGTGAGTTTAAACTTCTAACCTTACACAAATCAATTTGGAGTTAGTATTTATTCTGTAGTATTGAAGTTTCATCTCTGTTTAAATCAGCTACCAAGCGGTAGAATATATGAGAAGAGGAGTGGATCCAACCATATCTTGCCAAAAAGCTATTTCAAGAATTAAGAAGCATTTTCCAAAATTCCTTGGCGCTGTTATATGTGCCAATGTGACTGGAAGTTACGGTAAGTTGTATTTGGATTTTGTATGTGTGTGAACTTATAAATGTTTGTAAAATATACACTCTAAAATATTGTATTTTATATATATAGTGTATTGTGCAATACACTATAGTCAAAAGAAAGGGAACTATGTAGAGTAGGCTCTAGGTAAAAGTTAACTGATGATTTGTCGACTCCCACAAGTCTTAAAAATATACCTGTGGTTGCCTGCTGGTGATCTAGTCTATGGCTGTTAGTTCTTATCTTTTACAACTACCCTAAAGGGATTTAGTTTCAGCTCCAGGACATCTTGAGATGGGCTGATTTTGTCAAATGCTTTTACTAATTAGAACTAAGTAGGGATAAATTATCCTGCCTTCTTTTTGTTCTATTCATCATGTAAATCATTTAGACATTTAAGTCTTTTTAGGGCTCCAAAGAACAAAATGTATTACTCATTAGTAAACCTAAAAAATTAGAATTATTTTGGTACTATATTTGAGGGATGTCTTTTTCTTCATTTACTTCCTGCATAAGCGTATCACAATTTCAAAGCATTTAAAGATCAATCACTGCTGATTCTCATTAGTGAATTTTCAGATGGGGAAGATATACAGCTTACTGATCAATACGACTTATTGGGTTGGACTGCTGCTTATTGTTCTTTGATCTTTTACTTTTTACACTTATGTATTTGAAAAAATTTTCGCATTCTCTTTTAACTACTAAGGTACAAAAGGCAATAAAAGTTTTGGGAGAGAGAAGGCTTATGTGTAAAATAAGTCAGTTTCATTAATTCCCTCTTAAGAAATAAACCATAGAAAAAAGTTGCATTTAACAAGATGGGAAAATACTAATTATAAAATGGTATATGAATTTAAAATTGACTAGCTCTTTATACATAACATAATGACAGTAGAAAGACACTCCTACCATATACAGTCTGAATATTTGAGCAGATGAAGTCAGACAGATAACATCTTGACAAACAACTTTTCTCTCTTTTATGAAAGTTCTACTCAGAACAGAATAAAAAGCAGTGGTGTGGGGGGGGGTTATGAATAAAATGGTAGAAATGCACCTGAATAATTTCTTCTAAGAAAAGGATGTGACAACAGGGTAAAAGAACAGAAAAAAAACAGCATGTATGTGGAGCCAAAAAAATCAGCTACCCTTCTGAAGTTTAAAAGGATAGCTTACCTACTACCTTTTTTTACCTCCCATTAACTACTCATTACTGAGGAGGGTGATACTAGTATACTTCCACGCGGCTTAGTTAGACATAGGTTACTATAGCCAGTATCTAGGCAAACAGCAACATCAGTATTGGTTATAAATATATGCATCTTATATTTAACTATACAACTTTCTCTTTTTTGACCTAAGGTGCTGCTTGCAATAAGCTTCCAACATTTTCTCAATTTAGCTTCATGGTTTATAATTCTCTAAAAAATAAACCAACTGAGGAAAAAGTAGACTGCATTTAATCCATCTTTTCTTTTGATGTCTATATTTAAAGAAGAAACAAAGGCTAAAAAGATTGTTCACAATTATTGTTTAGTTGTCCTTGTGTATTTAAAGTTCTTGTGTAAAATAAGTACAAAAATAAATTTATGCTGACATAGACTTTCTGTATCTGAAATTGACTGTTTTTTAAGCTTTGTAGACCCCATGAAAATGAATATCCATGTGTGTATCTTATACATATTTAAGTTTTAAGTGATATTTGAATTTCTCACTGGTGTTTCAAGAAATTTCTACTTTGGGGATTTATTCCCACAGTGATATAATTCATCTAAGTCTGTATTTGAGTACTTAAAATAGAGTATATAAACTTTTTAGATCCAAAGAAAAAAATCTCACTGAGTCTCAGCTTATTACCCCTGATTGGATTTCAGTATGTTATGTGATATGTCTTCTGTCACTGATTATTAGTTTTACCCAATATTCCATAATAGCTTGATGCAGGAAAGATCCCATTTATAGATGCTTTTTATTTTGCACATATTAGAAAATATAGGCAATCTTCCAATGAACAACTATGTTGATTTTCCTTGGATTTTTCTCTGATGGAGTGCTCACCATATGAAAGTTCTTAGGCCACAAAAATCTCAGATCTTTTGCCTACCAATGCTCAATAATGATAATTTCTTTTGAAAATCACATGGAAAACTTGATTTATAGTGCAATTTTAGTAGCTTCTTATGCTGAGGAGGGCCTTGTGATTATAATTGTTGTCTGACTTGGTATTATTTTCCTAACTTCTGAATTCACTATCTCTGACTGACAACTACAGGGAAGTTGTGTATCAGCTTTTATGACATCATCTTTTCCTGCAAAATTATTATCTTTTAAATCAGTAATCGAAGAATATGTACAACATTTTCTTCAAACTTCAGTATTTTACTCTGTTTTTTTCTATACCCACCATAATGTTTACTGTCATTTATAATGTAGGGTAGAAACCTATAGTGGAGAATGATAAGATCACTTGTGTTCAGGCCTTTTATGCATCAAAATTGTCAGGGGAGACCTTTAATAATGCCCTCTACTCTATCAAACTATATAAGATTCCCACAAATAATAATTTGAAATTAGATCTCATCACTTCTCAGCCTTTTGACTAAGATCAAGTGAAATCTAGATCCAGCAGCCATTGATGGTAGTCTGAAACCTAAAAGAAAACAGTTCTACAACTTCATACTCAAAAATCAGAAAAATCTTACCTTTGAGGGTTCCCAGGAGCTAGATACTTGCTTAAATCTAAAACTGGGCCTTGGAACAAGGAAAAACAAACCAGATTTAAACTCAAAGTATATTTATTTTAAGATGATATTCCTGTTTTGCACATTTCTTTCTATTAATGTCAGGCATTCATTTACCAACAGAAAGAAGAGAGTAAAGGAGAAAGTATAATTCTTCTCCCACTTAGGAGATCAGCTGACAGAAACAGCTTACATACATTTTTAAAGGATGTTTTCTCTTTAACTCACATTCTTTCTGATGGAAATAATGTCCTTATATATTTAACAGAAATTTAGCCTTGGAGATAACATTTCTAAAGTTCTAGATTAGATTATAATATTTAATGTTCATTATTTAATATGATTTGTGTATTACATATTATCTGTTGAAAAGAAATTATTTGTCCCTGGTGATGTATATAAAGGGAGCTCATGTCTTTGATAATGTTTTGATTCAGTGTGCACTAGAATCACAGGGAAAACACATAAGAACCTAGTGAAATACTACAGTCAGTAAAATGTAAGCCAATCATAAATAAATTGACTTTGAAATAGTTCATAAATACTTGGAAAGAGCAAGAATATTACTTGGAAACAGAACCTTAGAAAATTTAGTCGTGATCTAAACTATCATGGCAGACAATAGTTGTTTCTAGTTGTATCTTGGTTGTATCATTGTTACAAATTACATGAATGTTAAAGAGAATAAGGTAAGAGATAATATTCATAACTTTTGCATGCCATTCTTTTTTTTTCCTTTGTATAAAAAGTGTCCTACGACTTATTACTTAGGTGAAGCTACATTGTCCTAAACACACATGTGAACTAGCAATTTTTCTAAATGATTCTGGAAACTCTTGTCACTTAGATTTGCTTTATCTTTTTTATTTATGTAAACATATATATATGTGGACACATATACAGAGAAGGAATAACTTTTTCAGCTCACATGTTGCATTTCATATAATATTACTAACAAATTTGGTGGATTTAAATTTGACTATTACCCCAATGTAACAACAATTAGAAAAAAGAAATGATTTTCTTATCAGCTATATCAGAATGTGGTGTTATCCCAGAGGCTGCACTCAAGTGTTTTGTCTTTTTAGCACAATATGCAAAAAGAAAAATGTTAACCATAGTATGTAATAAGGATTGATAATTTTGTTCTCATTTATTTGCTTTGATTCATCTCTGGAATAAAAATTTTTTAATCATTTCATTTTTTTGTTTCAATAGGGTAAAAATTACTTTTCTTGGGTTGGTTCTTATTCTATTAAATCCAGTATAAACTGGTAGTCATAAATGCTCTTTGCCAAACATTACCAGCTCTGCCTACCTGGAATATTGTAGGTTTTCTGTTCTTGACTTCCTTTATGATTTGGTAAAGCCATTTGACTCATTCTGGTAATAACTTTTAAGCCAAAGTGGAGTGTGAGACCTTTCCTATCTCTTTTACTATATCAGGAAGATTTAAGTAATAACCTAAAAGTTAAACTAAGGACAACCCAACAACAATAGTAAAAATGAGAAAACACTTAAGCAAGATACAGGGACAGACTTCCAGTTCACCAATGGCAAACAGTGGGGCAAATGAGGATAAAAAGTCTGACAGTGAACCATCAGGTCATCCTGAACTCAAAGCACAGGAAGTAACAAAACTGATCAATTAGGCTCTAGAGAAATTTAAAACAGAAGTAATTTCCCAGGTAATTATAGAGATGATGAGCAAAATGAAAGTTATAATTCGAGACTCTAGAGCAGAAACTGAGAGGAAAATAGATGCACTCAGGACCATGATAGAAGCCATGAATGCCCAGCATAAGAAAGAATTGGAAACAATAAATGCCCAATACAAGAAAGAAATGGAATCCATAGGACAGATTCGAACAGATATCCTGGAGATTAAAAACTCCATTAAGATTGTTCAAAAAAGAGTAAAAGAGTCTGAAGATAGAATCTCAGATATAGAAGATAAAAATTACATTCAGTGACCGTGAAAAGAGAGGTCTTTTAAAAACAGTAGGGGATCATGAGAAATTGATCCAACAACTCTTAGACAATACAAAGAAGAATAACATAAGACTAATAAGAATTCAAGAAGTAGTAGGAGAAAATGCAAATGACTTAAAAAAGCTGTTCACAGAATTAATTATAGAAAACTTCCCAAACAGAGGGGAAGAATTTGACATACAGATAGATGAGGTATTTAGGACTCCAATTAGCCATGATAAAAAAAAAAATCTACACCTAGACATACAATAATCAAGATCCCAGAAACCCAACAGAAGAACAAAACATTACAAGCAGCAAGAGATAAGAAACAAATTACATGCAAAGGAAAGCCCATCAGAATCACAGCAGATTTCAATGCAAATCCTTTAGTTAAGGAGAGCCTGGAATGAGACATTTCAAGTACTAAAAGAAAACAACCTCCAACCTAGGTTGATGTATCCTGCAGAACTTTCTTTCAAAATGGATGGGAAAATAAGATACTTTCATGATAAAGAACACCTGAGAAACTTCATGAATACCAAACCAGCACTACAATGAATTCTAAACAATATCCTAGAAAAAGACAAGGCAACAACATAATGAGGCCCAACAGAGCAAATCAAATAGGCAAGGTAAGAAACTAAAAGGAGAAGGCAAAAAAAAAAATGACAATAATAAGTTAGTACATATCAGTGATAACCATCAATATCAATGGCCCCAATTTCAGCAATCAAGAGAAATAGACTGGCAGAATGGATTAAGAAGCAAAATCCAATAATATGTTGTATACCAGACACACCTAGTGCAAAAAGAAGCCTATAGACTGAAAGTAAAAGGACAGAAAACTTCATGTAGCAGGAGCCCAGAAAAAAAGCAGGGGTAGCAATCTTATTCATAGACAAAGTTTCAAACCTAAACTGATTGAAAGAGACAAAGAAGGTCACTACATCCTTGTGAAGGGAACAATTCAAGAGGAAGAGATAAATTATTTTTAATTTTGAGTGTGTTAGAAAGCACATATGCTTCTTTTCTTTTTTCTTCTTTTCTTTTCTTTTTTTTCTTCCCCTGGTGCTGGGAATTAAACTCAGCATATTGTTCTGGCTAGGTAGGTGCAGCACTACTGAGCTAAATCTTAGGCTTTACATTTCATATTTTAAAAATTTATCAATACATTAATTTTTGTCTTTATATATTGGTCTACCAAATTGATGAGATATCTTGGTTCTCATTTTCTTTGCTTTTTTATTTGAGAATTTATGTAAACTCTGTATGTGAGTAGTATGAAATGTATTAAGGTCCATCTGTCATTTTCCTCTTTCATCTCTGCCTTCTACAAACTTCATTTTCTGTCTCTACAGCTTGTTTGGTTGGAAATTTGTTAAGACAAATTTTGTTATGTTATCAATATAGCTTTGTACCTATTTCCTACTGATAATTAATGTTAATTTTTAAGTTTTTATCATAACTATACTTAAATAAATGGATAATAAATCATTAATATCACTTAGTATCTGGCACATATTACAAATTTTCCAACTCCCTTAAAGATAATAATTGTTTTTTCTCAAATCACACAACTCACAATCATTCCACACATCACTACACTGTTTTATTATACCAAAGTATATATTGTATTGTAGAAAATATGAATTGTGTATATGTGTGGGGGGTATGTTTTTACACATATGTGTGCACTATTAAATGAGAAACATGGTCATGAATGTGGTAGGATTTTGCACATTTGGCATATTGATAGTTTCTCTGGCAACCTTATGATTTCTCTAAATTACATGCTTGATTCAATTCATAGTCATTTGGGAATAATATTTTATATTGGTGTCAAATTCTATCATGCTTATAAAATATAAAAATAAGTATGGGATATAATAAAATAGAAGCAAAAATATGATCTTAAAAATGTGAACTCTTACTTTTGGATTTCAAATATATTTTCTTTTCTGTGGGAAGTTTTGTTAGAAAATGTAAGTGATACAGTCAACAAGCATATGGTATTTATCAAATTAATAAAACCGAGGAGTTTATAAATCATAAACTTTTGAGGACAGTTTCTCAACTATAATATGTAACTTTGTTTTATTTATAATTACATTATTTCAAAAATATTATATGAAAAGAAAATGAGAAAACATATAATGTTTGAAGATCATATCAAACTAATAATGTATTTTGATTAACAGTCTGTGTTGTATAAATCTTTATTTCATATCCTTTTTTGCTGTCATATATATGTATATTTGAAATTTTTATTTAGTATCTTCATTTCTTGTCATGTATGTTTGCAATCTTTAATAAAAAAATAAAAATAAAATATTGACTTGAACTTCCTAGAACTATATGCACAAATAAAATATAACATATACATATGCACAGCATATACACAGAAACATAACTATATACACAGAAACCTAAAAACATATTTCCTTAGTATTTTGATTTCAAAAGGTAAATAATATATATTTTAGAAGGGAGGAGGGGGTGAAGGAATAAGGGGAAAAAAAGAGAACCAAGACCTGTCATGTAAAGGTACAATATCCCAATGATGAATGTAACTATACTGTATACCTAAAATGTAGCAATAAACTCAATGAGAAAAAAAATTTAACTTCTTTTTAAAGTGTCATTACCTCTGGTGCCTAGTGATTAAATCGAGATCTGAGGACATAATTGAACTTGTTTAATATCTCTAACCGTGTAATTAAATTCATTTAAAAATTACTGGTGACATAAATATGTATTCTAATTGTATACTGATTGTGAAGATAAATTAAGATCTATTTAAGTCACTTGTCAATTTTTGTTTTTTCTAGTTCTCTTTTAAGAAAATGTTTCTAAAAGGACATTTAAAAATTTTTTCTTGAGTATTAAACTTCATGTCTTAGTATACTTCCAGCTGCTGTCTTACAAAGTAAAAAATGAGATAATGAGGTACAAAAAAATATAAATTGTTTGTGGTTAATTTGTGCCTACAATAAATATTTTCTTCTACAACTTATGATCATCTTTTCATGTTTGAAAAACCACAAGCATTTGATTAATAAAATAATTGTCCCATTCAGAATGGATATAATGGAAGTTAAAACTGCTCTGATCAACTGATTTTGCTTCTAAATTAAAGAAAAGGGAAATTATTTATAGCACTAATGCATGGATAGTGCACTAAGCAATTGGTGAACTGATTTAAACTTTGGGCTTTCAATGTAGTGCATTAGATTCATTTACTAATTTATTTTCTTTAATTAAAATTTGATTCCTATACTGTTGATGTTGGCATATAATATTTCTAAGGAATTCAGATTTAGAGTAAATGTAGAGAAACCAAATGTCATCTAATTGCTCAGAATCTATCTCTATTTATTTCTAAGTTGTGTAAAACCCATGAACACCATAAATGTCAAAATTATTTTTCCATTCCTATATAAAAGCAATATTATTTCTTTTGTTCTGTTCATTGTAACTAAGCTGTTTGAAAATAAAACCTAAGATAAGAATAAAAGAAATAGCAGACAATCCAAACTCACACAGTTTATTTCAACTGAGACTAAAGCAGAATATGAAGCCCACTTTTACCAGAACACACAACTGCTAAATTGTTTAGATTTTGATTTAAGTCACGTGAGATTTACACTGTATATTTCACCAAACACTACAAATAAGGGCTCATTTTTCTTCTGGTAAGATGGTTTTGAGGTAATGTAGCATAAATATTTCACATGCATACACTCACATGCTGTTTTAAAGGAATTATGATTATGATGATGATTATTATTTTGTTTTTTTGAGACAGGGTCTCACTATATAGCTGAGACTGACCTGGAACTCCCTAGGTAGTCCAGGTATCACTCACAGTGATCCTCCTGCCTCAGCCTCCAGAGTGCTGGGATTTCAGGCATGTACCACCAGCCCTAGCCTTAAAGGAATTTTAGAGCCCAGTTACTTGATTTCAAACCCAGACTCTGTTCATCAGCTCTATGACCTTGAGCTACCAAATCTTTTGGAGTTACCATTTTGCCACAGATTGCCTAAGGTGCTGGACATATAGCAACAGGATTTAATGTTTGCCCTATTGGATTTTGGTCTTGCTTTGTTCCCATTCTTTCTAGTCCCCTATTTCTACATGTTGGATTGGGAATGTGTATCCTATGCCATTGTATGTTGTAAGTGTTTA